GTCATCCCTTGCTATAGCATGGATTGCTTATTGCTACTTTGTGGATTTTTGCCTATCATGCGGGTCTCCAGAACATAACACCTGCCATAGATGAGGGATCATTATTTGTGTATTTTTAAAAAAGGAATACAGTGAAGCCACAATAAGTAAATCACAGTATAGTGAGGGACGATGGTATACAAATATACATACACACACACACACACACACACACACACACACAATCAACTAATCAATCAATTGATGCAGAATCCAGGGAGACAGCAGGCAGGAGAGGTTTCCCAAGCCTGAAAAGACGACTTGTGGACAGAAACAGATACCTTTGGTCAAGGAGAATGTCCAACAGAAGTAGCTATGTGGGATGGAGCCAGGGGAATAAACACTGATCCTTCTCTGACCCTCCCAATCCTGTGAGGGCTCCCTAATGTCCAAACTCAATTGAAGATGGAGGCTAGAGGTCCCTCTGATACACACCACTTAGGTCAACTTCTTAGGGCGAAGGCCAGCATGAGAAGGTGGAAAGAGGATCTAAATGGGGCAAATATGTTCAACAATACCAATGAAATGCAGTCAGCCAAATCCAGAATGTAGAAAATGCTCTGGTACCTCCTCCATCAACTACTTCCCCCATCAAATTCTCTCCCACTAAATACTCCTGTTAAATACTTTGTCCCCATGAAATACTTGTCCCATCAAACACCTCTCCCATCAAATTCTCCCTCACCAAATATGCCCTTACCAAATATCCCCCATTAACTAATATCCCCCCCAACAAATATGCCACCACTGTGGCTCAAGTGGTAGAGCGTTAGCCTTGAGCTAAAGAGCTGAGGGACAACGCCCAGGCCCAGAGTTCAGGCCCCATGAAAAAAAAAAAAAAAGTTCCCTCATCAAATAGTTACTCCATCAAACTTTCCCATCAAACAGTTCCCCCTTCAAATATCTCTCCATCAAATACTTCCCCCATCAAATGCTCCCTTATTGAATATTCCCCTATCAAATACTTCATGAAATATTTTCCCCATCATACTTCCCCATTGAATACTCCATGGAATATTTCCCTCCCACCCCCCCCCTTACCAATTTAAAAACCTTTAGGAAGCGTAACACAAGCAAGAGTGGACCATGTTTTAGATCCTGATTCTAATAAACTGGCTGTTGTTATTGAGCTTATTTTTTGTTACCAGGTTCCAATTCGGCCTCTCAGTCTGCTAGGACCCCAAGAGCCTCCTGGGGTGATCATTTCCTCGCTTTCTAGTGTTCCAGGATATCCAGGTCATCTTCCGCATTCCCTACCCTTGAACTGGAAACAGACATTTGTTTCTACAAGAGGCAATTGCTCTTCTCAGTGGAGAACGGATTTGAGAAGCAAGGATGTGGGCATGTGGGGAGTTCCTGGTTGTCGAGGGTCCATTATTCTAGTCTATATTTCATCTGAGAAACTGACATTTTTAGAGAAAATGTATCATGTGTTCATACCACTATTTGCATTTGGAACTTAGAATTATAGAATTTCATAATTTTGCATCTTTTTATACTGAAATTTTTGGCTCCTCACATTAACATAGTCATTTGAATATGCAAACATATCTACTTATCTTCATAATAACCATCCCAATGCTATTATTAACATAATTTATAAAAACTGTAGGACTTCTTTGCAATTCACTTTAGTTTTAGAACTGAGCCCACTAAAGAGGTATACTCAGCTACTATTTTTTGTCAACAACTGTGAAAAGCCACTTAAAATAAGTCCTCTGTGAAAGCTACCAACTTGTTATATAACTGGACTCGCTTCCTTTGGTTTGGTTTGCTTTTAAGGGCTGAGTTCTCATTTGGATTGAAGTTGGACTGTTTTATAATTGTACAACACATCCATGATTTCCAGATCACATACACACAGCATGGACTGTTGGTTTTGCTGGACGAGGGAATAAGCCAAGGACCTCTCATATGCTGAGCAAGTGCTCCACCACTGAGTTGCGCCCTCAGCTACCCAGATATGTAGGTCTTGTTTCTAGATAAGGTTTCAATATGTAGCCCACATTAGTTTTGAACTTGTGATAGGTCTTCCTGCCTCAGTCTCCCAAGGGACACGATTACATACACTATTACTCGTAGCTAGTATAAATTGAATGAGACAAGAACTCTCAAACTCTGTAGATCACTTGTATCTTCATTTTCAAGAATACAGATGCCCATTAAAAAGGTATGAATGGCGGAGCTGGGAAGGTGGCTCAGTGCATGAGGCCCTGGGTTCGATTCCTCAGCACCACATAAGAAAAAAGAAAAAAGCCAGAAGTGGCGCTGTGGCTCAAGTAGTAGAGCACTAGCCTTGAGCTGAAGAGCTGAGGGACAGCGCCCAGGTCCAGAGTTCAGGCCTCACAACCAGACCTCCCCCCTAAAAAAAAAAGTTATAAATGGGACTGAGAATGTGGCTTAGTGGCAGAATGTTTGCCTAGCATGCATGAAGCCCTGGATTTGATTACTCAGTACCACATAAACAGAAAAAGTCAGAAGTGACACTGTGGCTCAAGTGGTAGAGTGCTAGCCTTGAACAAAAAGAAGTTCAGGGACAGTGCCCAGGCCCTAAGTTCAAGTCCCAGGACTGGCAAAAATAAGTAAATAATAAATAAAAAAACTGTGGCTCACATGGTAGAGCACTAGCATTGAGCAAAGAGGCTCAGGAACAGTGCCCAGGCCCTGAATTCAAGCCCCACAACCGAACAGAACAAAACAAAACAAAACAAAAAACACCTGCTATTAGCAGGGCAAGAGAAAGCACTAATGTGAAAGAATCTTTTTTTAGCCAGACACTGGTGGCTCAAACCTGTAATCCTAGCTATTCAGGAGGCTGAGATCTGAGGATCACAGTTCAAAGCCAGCCCGGGCAGGAAAGTTCATGAGACTCTAATCTCGAATAAACCTCTAGAAAACTGGAAGTGGTGCTGTGGCTCAAGTGGTAAAGGACTCGCCTTGAACTGAAGAGCACAGGGATAGCACCCAAGCCCAGAGTTCAAGCCCTACAACCGACAAGAAAAAAAAAGGATCTTTTTTTCCCCAGTTGTGGGGCTTGAACTCAGGGCCTAGGTGCTGCCCCTGAGAGTCTCGTGGACTTTCTTGCCTTGGCTGGCTTAGAACCGCAATCCTCAGACCCAAGCCTCCTGAGTAGCTAGGATTTCAGGCGTGAGCCACCAGTGCCTGGCAGAATCTATGTTCTTTTAGCAGCACATGGTTCTCTGAAACTCAGATGACTTAGAATACTTCTTTCTCTCACATAACATTTGCAACATAGCTCAGAGCAGGATGGGAGTCCTGCATTTAGGCAAGTGTGCATACTGAGCCTGGAGGAGAAGTAAGGCTATGTTGTTAAGTGAGCTCTGCTTACCTCAACACAACAGGATCTTCCCATGATGCTCTCAGGAGCATTGAAACCTGCGTTCCCCTGTAAGTATTGTCTTTCTTGTCAGTGTTGAGTGTGTGCAGTCTCTAGATCAAGCACTGGAAGCAAAGGTCAACAACTCAAACTTAAGAGTATGGGGAAGTTTCAGGATTCTGTTTCTCTGGTTCAAAAAGAACCAAAGCATTTTCATGTTTCAACCCACCTCTGTTCTTACCTTTCTCATCCAACAAAAAGCTGACAGCTCCTGTAATTTGGCCCTTTTACAAAACCAGCCATGAATTCAGACGAGGATTATGTATCTATTGTCACTGTGGTGCTCTCCTCAAATGCCACCAGGTGGCATCAGAGGACCTATTTGCTCACCCCATTCCTATACCTCGTGACTACTTTGGCTCACAGGGAAGGTGCTAGCATGGAGTGGGTGTGATTGGTAGGTCCTCAAACTGCCCAGTGTCTCAGCAGCTTTAACAGCTGGCAGTTGTCCCTACTTCCAGGGCCAGAATGTGGGAAAATGAATTAAGAAACAACAGGTTGCTCATCTTCCTCTCCGGGGTCTCTTTGCAAATTTAGTCAGGACATTCAAGTGTTAATTTGAAAATACTTCTTAGAATGGCTAAAGGAATGCTGTAATAAAGGCTGACATGGAACTCAGTGCACACATTTGTAATGTTCTTTCCTACTGACAGACAGACACACTGGTCCATCGTCCAAAAGGACACACTGTCATCTAAACATATTGTCATGAAACCCAGGGCAAGTTACAAGCCAGGTGCAACCACCAGGTTAACTGCTGAAGTTTCTAGAAGTCAGTCCCTGCTGGAGAATGTCCAAAGGTCTCAACTGTTCCCCAGGTAGCTGCTGAGCTACAAGACCAAGAATTGACAAATGGGACATGGCTAAAGAGTTTCTGCCCAGCAAAAGAAACAATTAACAAAACCAAGAGACAACCCATAGAATGAGAGAATTTTTGTTAGCTGTTCACAAAGGACTAATGTCCAGAATATATAAAATAAAAAGATTAAATTACAACACATAAAGGACCAATGCTAAAAATATACAAAGAACTGAAAAAAATAAACAGTATAAGAATAACCCAAGGGCTGGGAAGGTAGCTCAGTGGTAGAGCGCTTGCCTTGCATGCTTGAGGCCCTGGGTTCGATTCCTCAGCACCACATAAGCAGAAAGAAAAAAGCCGGAAGTGGCGCTGTGGCTCAAGTGGTAGAGCGCTAGCCTTGAGGCGAAGAGCTGAGGGACAGTGCCCAGGCCCAGTGTTCAGGCCCAGGACTGGACCGCCCCCCACCAAAAAAAAAAAAGAAAGAAAGAAAGAAATAGCCACACTGACAAATCTGGGGTTTTTGTTTTTATCTCTTTCAAGGCTTTCAAATGCAATGCGAGATGTCTGTGCCTTCTGTCTGCCTCTGGCCTCCACCTGTCTTCAGTTACTAGTGCCAGAAGCTGATGCCACAGGCTATCCGTAGTTCCCAGATGCCAGAGGCAACCCAAAGTTCCTCACTGCAACCGTCCACTGAAGATCCCCGCCGCCCTTTGTCTCTGTTCTCCCTGGGAGAAATCTGGTTGGCAGCCAAATGTGCCTGGGACATGTTCAACAGATGCAGCCCTGTCCCCTCACACTGCCAGCGTGTGCAGGCTGTGGCTCGAGGCTCCACCGCTAGGCCTGCTCACCTAGACCACTTCCACTGCCCCCAGAGCCTCTGCTGGACGCTGGGGCTTCCGAGGCACGGGAGGCCTGCTTGGGCAGGCGGATGGGGACGTAGATGTTGGAGGCACAGTGTTCCTTGAGATACTCTCCTCCCTTTTCCTCATATTCTTTCCTGGTGACCCAGGCTCCATTGTCTTCTAGGTGGTCCAAGGCCCATTCCCGAGCACCATACCAGGCGTCCAGCACAGGGTTCAAGGCGAGCTGAACCTGAAACAAGAAGTGGAATGGGGTCTCGTACTTGGGCTCCTGCCATGGATGTTCTGCCATTTGGTGACAGCCCCTCCCTTCGATCCTCAGAAGTACACACAGAGTCCCCAACCAGATCCCAGATGGTGCAGGACAGTCTCTGCACGCTCCCCACGACACAGCACACAGCACTGGCTTCCCTAAGCAACGGGGCCCAGCACTCTGCCCTGTGCCAGGTGCTGTCAATCAGAACTTTCAGAAAGGGGTGACCTGAGGGTGACAGAAGGAGGCTTCTAACATGGACATGGGGCCTGGGGTCAGCAGACCTACAGGATCCCTCAACTCCTCGACCTGACCACCACAGTAACCATCCTGCTCCAAGCAGGCTCCTATGTGTGGAGCCCTCCTCACCTCCCACGCCTGTCACCTCTCCTTCCTCCCTCCTCTCCTCCCTCCCTCCAACAGCCACAGGAACTCCAAGCAGGAATAGAGGTTTCAGAATTTCTGGAACAGATGGAGAAAGGGAGGGAGAACAGACACATAAGCCTATGAGAATAACAACTTGTGCAAAGGGGATCCCCCCTCCCCCGCGCCCCGCCCCTTTGTGTGGTGCTACAGATGAAACCCAGGGTCTCATACATGCTAGTGCTTTACCACTGAGTCACACCTCCAGCCCCACCATTCTGGCCTAGGAAATGCCAGGGAGACAATGACTATACAGTGCTTGGTAATTTGCCTGATAAAGCAACCAATAAATAGTAACTACCATTACTCCTAATAATATTGTGGGGCTGGGAATGTGGCTTAGTGGTAGCATGTTTGCCTAGCATGCATGAGGGCCTGGGTTCAATTCTTCAGTACCAAATACACAATAATAAAATTATGTTTTAAAAAAAGAAATATTGTAACATCTATGGTAAGTAATAGAATTTTACACAGCCACAAAAAGGATGTTTTGGAGGTGGGTGTGATGGTATGCACATGTAATCTCAGCCACTTGGAAGGCTGAGATAGGAGGACTGAGTTAAAGGACAGCCCAGGTAAAAGTAGCATAAGACCCTACTGGCAAAAAAATGAAAAGTAACAGAACTCTGGGGATGGCACTTGTGTGAGCCCCTGAGTTCAATCCCTAGGACTTAAGGAACAAAAGAAGTATGCTCTGGAATGTATTTATTGGCAGAAAACAGCTGATCACAAAAATTTGAAAAAACTAAAATTCTTGCAAACAAAAATCAATGACCCCTTAAAAGGATCAAATACCATGATCAAGCTACCTTTATCCTGAGGATGCAAGGGTAGTTCAACATATATAAATACTTATAATACATAAGGACAAAAATTACATGCTAATGACACAGAAAAAGCCTTTTATGATAAAAGCTCTAAAAAAAACTGAGAATAGAAGGAATGGTCCTGACTGGTAATGTAGCTTAGTGGCAGAGTGCTTGCCTAGCATGCATGAAGCCCTAGGTTCCTCAGTACCATATACATAGAAAAAGCTGGAAATGGCGCTGTGGTAGACTGTGCTCAAGTGGTAGACTGCTAGCCTTAAGCAAAAGAAGCTCAAGGACAGTGCTCAGGCCCTGAGTTCTAGCCTCAGGACTGGCAAAAGAAAAAAGAAAAGAAAAGAAGGAATGTTCCTATACTTAAAGGGCATAATAAACCTAGAGTCACTATGCTAAATGAAGAAAAACTGTTACCATTCCCCCCTAAAGTCATGATGGGGACCAATGTGTCCACTGTCCTCATTCTTTTTTTTTTGGGGGGGGGGTCCGGTCATGGGGCCTGAACTCTGGGCCTGGGCGCTGTCCCTCAGCTCTTCAACTCAAGGCTAGCGCTCTACCACTTGAGCCACAGCGCCACTTCCAGATTTTTTCTTTTTGTTTATGTGGTGCTGAGGAACGAACCCAGGGCCTTGAGCATACAAGGCAAGCGCTCTACCACTGAGCCACCTTCCCAGCCCCTGTCCTTATTCTTTTATAACATGGCACTAGACAAAAAGGACATGCATATTCACAAGTACGTACCTATATATACACGCAACAATATAATAAATATCTACAAATGTATATAGACAAATATACATAAAGCATGATCATAATTGAGAGTATTTAGGGGGCTGAGGAGAAGGGGAAAGGGAAAAAGAAAGATGGAGGGTAACTGATTTCAAAATACACTGTACTCTGTATAAAGACAGCATAAGGACTATCAATATAATTATTGATCAATTATATGAGGAAATTATATAATGAATTATATGATGAAAGGGCTGGGGAAAGAGAAAGCAATAAAGAGGACTATTTTTTCTTTTTTTGCAGTGGTACTGGGCTTGAACTCAGAGCCTGGGCGCTGCCCTTAGCTTTTTCACTCAAGGCTGGTGTTTTACCACTTTAGCCCCACTCCACTTCTGTCTTTTGTGGGAGAGAAGGGGTTATTAGGAGGTAGAGTCTCACAGACTTTCCAGATGCTGGCTTGGAACCACAATCATCAGATCACAGCCTCCTTACTAGGATTACATGTGTGAGCTGCTGGCACCTGGCTGAGAGGGTTATTCTGAACAAAACATATGCACATCTAAAATGCCATAGTACAGCCCCTTACTGCAATCCACACATACGCATGCATACATACACACACAAATACACACACATCAGGAAAATAAGTTATGTTGAAGGGATGAACACCAGCAGGAGAGGGCAGGGCTAATGAAGGTGAATAAAAATAAACATGGTTGAAGTAGTTTGTATGTATGAAAATATAATATTCAAACACATTGAAACTCTTTTAAGAGGAGGAGGAAGTAAGGTAGAGTAATAAAAGAGAAGAGTTTGATCAGGATACACTGTTTACATGTGTAGAAATGTCACAAAGAACTGCCTTAGACAACCAATGTACACTAATAAAACATGTAAAATGCAGATCAAAGGTCACTAAAAAAGACAGAAATGTCAGGGCTGGGAAGGTGGCTCAGTGGTAGAGCGCTTGCCTTGCATGCATGAGGCCCTGGGTTGGATTCCTCAGCACCACATAAGCAAAAAGAAAAAAGCTGGAAGTGGCACTGTGGCTCAAGTGGTACAGCGCTAGCCTTGAGCTGAAGAGCTAAGGGACAGCGCCCAGGCCCAGAGTTCAGGCCCCATGACCAGACCCAAAAAAACAAAAAAGAAAGAAAAAAAGACAGAAATGTCAATTATGGTTATCTCTAAGTGGATTTGACAATATTTTTTCATTTTACTTTTGCAATCAGAAAATCAATGACTGCTATTCTCAAACAGTTAAATGAACAACTAGTACCTGGAAAGAAGACTGAAAAGGCCTCATCTCCAGCAGTTCCTTTTCAATCCTGGCTTTCATCCCTGGATACATTACATTCCCACCAGTGAGGAAAATATTCTGGACCAGTGTTTCTTGAACAGCCTTTGGGTACCTAGGAGAGAAATGACCCTCTAACTTGATATTCATCAAAGACAATGCAAACATAGAAATGAAGCTCTCCTTTGAATCTACTTGAAAAGTTAAAAAAAAAAAATCAACCTGTAATCCTAGCTACTTAGAAGGCACAGACATAGAAATGAAGCTCTTCTTTGAATCTACTTGAAAAGTTAAAAAAAAAAATCAACCTGTAATCCTGCTACTTAGAAGGCTGAGATCTGAAGGATTGTGGTTTATAGTCAGACAAGTCAGAAAAGTCTGAAAAACTCCATCTTTGACTAGGCAGCAAAAAGATTAGCTTGAGGTGTGATCCAAGTGGCAGGGGACCAACTGTATGCCAGAAAGCCAAGCAAGTGGAAGGCCAAGTTCTAGTCCTGGTAGTATCAAAAAAATAGTCAGGTATTGGTGGCTCACATCTGTCATCCTAGCGACTCAGACTGAGATCTGAGGATCACGGTTTGAAGCCATCCTGGGCATGAAAGTCTGTGAGACTCTATCTCCAGTTGAGCTATGGCTCAAAAGTGGTAGAGTGTTAGCCTTAAGCAAAAAAGCTCAGTGACAGTGCTCTGGCTGAGTTCAAGTGCCAAGACCAAAAGAAAGAAGCCAAAACTCAATTTTTATTAGTATCTCTACAGAATGCCAGTACAATGTTTCTGATTATATACTCAAAACCTCAATCTGAATGCTTAATTATTCAAATTGTCCAATATGTTCTAGTCATTTCCTTAATATGACTAGAACTTTTCTGGTTTTCTAACCAGAACCATCACCACAATCAAAATATAAAGACTTCTATACCTTAGAAGATTTGCTTCCTCTCAAGTTGTGGGCTCATTTTTCTACTTGGCCCTTTTTTGCCTTGAGTTTTGTTTTGTTTTTGCTTGTTGTTTAGGTTTATTTTTTTATTTTTGTTTTTTGTTTTTTCTAAATCAATAACAAAGCTAGAACTCAGGTCTTGTGTTCTCACTTAGCTTGCTTGCTCGCTCATGGATGGAGTGCTACCACTTAAGCTATTTTGCTAAGTTAATTGGAGATGGAATATTGGAGTTTTCTGCCCTAGATACCTTCAAATCAACTATTTTGTTTCGTTTTTGAGATGGAGCCTCACTATGCTGCCCAGGCTGATCTTCCACCCATGGTCTCAAGTGATCACACCTCAACACCTCAAGTAGCTGGGACTAAAGGCCCCAATTCTACCTGAATTGTATCTTTAATATCTCTTTGTTATTCGTTAAGAGTGTTCGATCATTTTCTCATCACTAATGAGACAAACCTCAAATCTGCTCAAAGTAGCTACAAAAACATTTTCCTTAGCTAAGTGCACTTTCTCTATTCTACCCAAGGCATCAAGCACTACTGGTTATGATCCCTGCTTGTCCAACATGAATCACAACACTCTCATCCAGGGGCGTGCGTGCATGCGTGTGTGTATGTGTGTGTGTGTGTGTGTGCGTGCGTGTGTGTGTGTGTGTGTAGAGGGAGGTAGGTCTCTATAGAAATGTAAACTCTTCTATAAATAGATAGCCACAGGAAAGAAAACATTTTCATAAGCATTGCAGTATCTTGAGAGTGACTTAAAATCATTAGTCTTACCAGGTGTGGTGGCACACACCTGTAATCCCAGTTCTCTGGGAGGCTGAGGCAGGATTGCAAGTCTGAGGCCAGACTGGGATACATAATAAAAACATTGTCTAAAAAATAAAGAATAAATAAAACCACTAGTCTCTAATAATGTGAAGCTTTACAAAAAGCTAGTGCCCCTGGGACCATGCTGTTCAAATTTCAGAGAAGTTCTAAAAGCTCCTCCAATGAACCGGTACACTCATACCTAGAGAACATCTACAGAGCCCCTATATGCAGGCCTGGTGACAGAGACGGTGACTACCTGGGCACAGCAGATAAATAAGTGGAAAGAACTGCTGGGCAGATTTGGCCAAATTTTTCAACCCCAACTCAGGGAGAGTCACCATCTCACCTGTCCAGAATGTACTGAAGAGTCTCCGCCACACCCGCCTGTTCTTCTCCAATGAGAGATGGCTGGAAAATAATTTCTGGAGCTCGAATTCTTTCTGTCCCAACAAACAGCTGATGGTACGCTGCCAAGTTAAACACGGGCTTTAAAAACCCAAGGTTTAAGAGATATTTTTAGATCATAATGATACTCACCCCATTTGCCACTTTCCTACACTATTGCAGGGGTAGTTTCTGCCCTGTGTTCATGCCAGAGAGCAGGTCCAGCCTCTCCCCAGCTCTCCTGACTTCCTGATCCAGTTTTCTAGCCTTGTTCTACCATGGAGCAAACCAGCTTTTAACACTGCAGGTGCCCTGCTCCCATCCCTGAGGTAGGAGCTTTATGGAGAGTGGTGGCGCATGTCTACCCAGGGCTGGCTAGGTCCTTATTCAGCAGGAACACCCCCTGAAGGCCTCAATGACAGAAACATGGACACCAATGAGGCCTAAGTGTAGCGGCACCAGCACAACATAAAAGAAAGTTCTACACACCAGTCTGCAAGCCCAAGACTGCAGTCACTCGGCCACACACTCCTGCCAGAGCAACAGCCACTTAGGTGAGGTCTTTTTTTTTTTTTTTTTTTGGGTCCGGTTGTGGGGCCTGAACTCTGGGCCTGGGCACTGTCCCTCAGCTCTTCAGCTCAAGGCTAGTGCTCTACCACTTGAGCCACAGAGCCACTTCTGGCTTTTTTTTTTCTTTTGCTTATGTGGTGCTGAGGAATCGAACCCAGGGCCTCAGGCATGCAAGGCAAGCGCTCTACCACTGAGCCACCTTCCCAGCCCTAGCAACAGCCACTTAGATTGTGGTACTAGACTTCCTGCATCAGGAAATTCTGGCTGATACTGGATATATGGGTACCCCTCTTCTAGAAAAGACAACCAGGATGTTAGAAACAGCCTGGCCAGGCATTTATGTCCACAGGTTCAAAGTGCATTCATGGTCTGGGTAGAAGCCAAACCTGGACAGTGGCAGCAACAGGCTTCTCCACTTCAGGTGCTTCCTCTGAGAACAAGGGCTCGAAATCATTCATGCTGTCCACGTCCTCCAGAGATGGCTCCAGGGGCTCCAGGTCAGGGGTCTAAGAGCAGAAGCCAACTGAATAAACAAAACCAAACGCCCTGCCCCTCCCTTCTATCAGATCACAGTCCTCAAAAATGAATTAGGATCTTGCTCAATGTTTCAAAAGCTTATAGAAAAACTGTAAATCTTTCCTAAGCCACCGAAAAAAAGAACACACATAAACAAAAGACTAAAAAGGCAAGAATGGGCTGCTTGTATTGCCTTCCTTTCCTTCTTACATAACCTTCACCAACTCCTGCCTTTTTTTTTTTCTTTTCCAGTCCTGGAGCTTGAACGCAGTTTAGACACTGTCCCTAAGCCTCTCTGTGCTCAAGGCTAGCACTCTGCCACTTGGGCCACAGTACTACTTCTGGCTTTTTCTTAGTAGTTTATGGAGATAAGAGTCTCATGCACTTTTCTGCCCAGGCTGGCTTCAACCCACAATCCTCAGATCTCAGCCTCCTGAATAACAAGAATTCCAAGTGTGAGCTCCTGGAGCCCAGCAACCCCTGCCTTCTTTAAAGCCTTCTAGTCATGCCAACTACAGGTTAGGACTTAGGGAGACAGGTGGCTTGGACCAGTGACACACCCACACACACTATTATGGGGAACAGGGTGTGACAACGGGGGTCCTACAAGAGCTAGACTATCAGGAAAGCTACGCACATCTCTAAATAACAATATGTATGCCAACACCAGTAAGCTTAACCTCCAGTCCCTGACAGCATGTGACTAAAAGCTGCACTAACAGTATGTATGCCAACACTAGTGAGCTTAACTTCCAGTCCCCTACCCCAGGTAACTGAAGGCTCCATGACAGCAGAGCCCTTCCTATTCATGGAGCCTCACAGAGCAGCTTTGCTAGCCGACAGTGACTCCAGGTGAAACCTGGGCATGCTAGCACCCACTAAGGAGCGCTCAGGACCTGTAGGTTTGGTCAGTTGTGGGGCCTGAATTCAGGGCCTAGGCGTTGTTCCTGAGCTCTTGTGCTCAAGGCTAGTGCTCTACCACTTTGAGCCACAGTGCTACTTCCAGCTTCTTCTGAGTAGTTTATTAGAGATAAAAGTTTCACAGAATTTTCTGCCCAGCCTCCTAACTATCTAGGACAGGCTTGAGCCACAAGCATACAGCTCTACCTTGTGATTCTTACTCTCCACTCTCCCTCACTTGTGTTTTATCTTGACCCTTCAACCTTCTTTGTCTCAAGGTTGAGACAGCATCTTAAATCCTAAGTTAGGCTGCCCAATCTTCTGGCTTCCCTCTTTGCTGACTGCTCTTTCAATCCATCCCCCTCCCTCCTCCCTACCCCCAGCTCCCTGGGCAAATCTATTAGATGCTGTCAAAAAATTCATAAACCATGTACAAAGCACAAGTTCTGTCCTTAGGGAACATTACAATGGAAGGAGGGAAGAAGCCAAATAAAACATGAGTGCAAAGGGGAAGGGAGAGTATGACAAACGATGAAACAATACACTCAACCCAGAGGAGCAGGCCAGGCTCAAGCAGCATCACATAACAGGTATCAGTGGTCCTGCTAGCCTACTGGTGGGTGCACTCCCCTCCCAGGAGTGAGGTCTTCTGGCCAGACCTAACGGTGGGACAGTTTCAGAGCCATCACCATCTGCACCACTATGATCCTACTAACATCACTCATCTCCTGTCTCCTCTCACACTTTCTCTCAACCCCTTGGACGGCTGCCTTCTCCACTCTGTGGCCTCTAAAGGGTGCTCCCTCCCAAGGCCCTCATCACCTCGGGTTTGCTGTCCACCACATCCACCTCGAGGTTGACCTCTGCCTGAGGGATTTTCTGCTTGGCTTGCTCCACAGCTGAACTGAGCTTTCGTAGGTAGGACTGCAATTCTTCTGGGGAGTCCATGTTCAGCTCCATTAGAGCCTTGTGAAACTGATCCATCTGGCCATCCTCTAGAAGTTCCTGAAACCAGAGCAGTGAGAATTCTCCCTTAAAGACAAACAGTGCAATCACAAACCAGGAAGAAAGAGAAGTGGCTTAAAAGCCAAACAAGGAAGTGCAGCCGAGGGGTTCGCAGGACTCCCCAGCACCTTTTCCCAAAAGTGCATGCCAGCCTTCCTCTCCAGCTGTCTAGGCTAGCGTCACATTCTGGTTTCAGGACCATTTGATATGGTGACAGATGTCAGAAATGCTGTCATTTGTGGGGGAAGGAGTTACTGCCTGAAGATGATGATGATACTGTCCCCTGATCTGACCCCAGACAAGTGTGTGTCACTGTGAGAATCCATCCAGATGTGTACTTTGCACTAGGCATACAACACTTAACACCTGCTGTAACACTGAGCTCAACACTATTAATCTCTCTGAGTTTTCTCTTTTTGTGGTGTGGGGTTTTGAGGTCAGGGCATCACACTTGCTAGGCAAGAGCTCTACCACATGCCATACCTCCAGCCCTATAGTTCTGACCTCGATTCTGAGGACCCCAGAGGTGACTTAGATAGATGACACTTTTTTTTTGGGGGGGGGGTCCGGTCGTGGGGCCTGAACTCTGGGCCTGGGCGCTGTCCCTCAGCTCTTCAGCTCAAGGCTAGCGCTCTACCACTTGAGCCACAGCGCCACCTCCGGCTTTTTTCTTTTTTGCTTATGTGGCACTGAGGAATCGAACCCAGGGCCTCAGGCATGCAAGGCAAGCGCTCTACCACTGAGCCACCTTCCCGGCCCCTAGATGACACATTTCTGACTGGAGAAATCAGAGGTGTCACCTTCCAGCACATGCCGTCACCTGTACATAGAGCAGCCGGTCCAGCCGCTCCTGATCTAGCTGCAGCTTCTCCTCCCGCCGCCGGGCATTGAGCTCCTGCAGCCTCCGCAGCTGCTGCTGCCGCCGCTCTTGCTTTTCCTCAGCCGTCAGGGTGCTGCCCAGGAGCTTGCTGGAGAATGGGAGCTGCATCTTGTGGACGTTGTTCTCATAATAATCAGGACACCGCCACTTCTGCAATTCTTCAAGAAACAATTTTGGAACCGGAAATGCAAAATGTTAGAACAAAAATAAAACTTTCTTTTTTAATTTAACAAGTTCTGCTTTCTCTCAAAAAATGTTCAACCTTTGAGCCAGGTACCAGTGGTTCATGCCACTGAAAATAGGAGAATCATGGTTTGAGGCCAGTCCAGGCAGAAAAGCTTATGAGACCTTTCTTTTCAACCATAGCAATGATGTGTATGTATCAAAACAAACAAACATGTTTAACTTCAGGAAAAAGCTGTAATATGTTGTACAATTCCAAGACCTGTATTGGAGGGAAGTTATAAAGCAACCTTTTTGAAGAGACCCTCTAATCTAAGTTATCAGTTCCTTAAATAATTTTAGATAGTGAATACTACAAAGGGGAAGGAGGTACTAATAAAAAGGGGGGGCGGAGATTTGAGGCCATGTAAGCAATAGAGCCACACTGGCACCAATGTAAGGAATGCCCCAGGACACCCTGAAGCTGCAGGCACAAGTCCATCCCCCACACTACCTTCCACGTAGTCCTCAGCAATGTAGCTATGCTCATGCAGGATCTCCTCCATGCGGCTGAGAGTGATGGCCGCCAGGTGCCCAGGGTACTTCAGCTGCAGGAGTCGCTGGAGGTAACCAGCTGCCTGGCTTCCTCCAAGATTGATGCGTTTGCAGTTTTTGGCATCTAGTCTATAATCAAGCAGCAGAAAACAACACTGAAAATTCTGGCAACATAGAGGACAAGCTATTGAACATGTTAGGAGAAATAGGTGAGTTTAATTTAGACAAAGAAACAGACTAACAGGGGGACATAAAACCCCACAACTGAAAAGCACCAAAATTTCCTTGGTCCAACCCTTAGCCAGGAAGGAATTCCTAGTCCACATCTAGACAGACATAAGGCAATCTAACTCCTAGCCAGGATTTCAGAAAGAAACAAGGTTCAACAAAAAGAACGCATATTCCAAAATCGGCAATTCTCAAACCATGGTCTTCAGACCAAGTATCCTAGAATTAGCTGGGGAAAATGTCAAATGAGCCCATTCCAGAGCCCATTTGGTCTGGGGTAGACCTGGAAATCTGCAGCTTAACAAGCTTCTCAAGTGATTCTAGTGCAGGCCACATTTGAAAAGCATTTCCCTACACTCTACTTCCACTAGTTCAATCCAAGTGAGTAACTCCACACAAACCAGCCTCCTGTAATCTCCTATGAGCTAGATCCCTTTCATATGAACCCAAGTGGAAAACCAGTGTTAACTTTTCTTTTTTGGCTAGCTGGCTGGTTTGTTGGTTTGTGACAATGTCTCTCTATGTAGCCCAGGCTAGCCTCATACTTACAGCTCTGCCTTTGCTCCCAAGAAGCGGGGACTACAGTACAACTCCAGCCTGGCTAAGTTTATTTTCTTTTCTCTTTAGCTTTATTTTTGTTTTTTTTGTCGGTCGTGTGGCTTGAACTCTGGGCCTAGGCTCTGTCCCTCAGCTCTTCAGCTCAAGGCGAGCACTCTACCACTTGAGCCACAGCGCCACTTCCGGTTTTCTAGTGGTTTATTGGAGATAAGAGTCTCACGGACTTTTGTGCCTGGGATGGCTTTGAACCACAATCCTCAGATCTCGGCCTCCTGAGTAGCTAGGATTACAGGCATGAGCCACCGGCGCCTGGCCTAAGTTTATTTTCTTAATTTGAGAAAGTAGGAGTAGCAGATCACTAAGAAGGGGCTGCAGGGCGGGGAAGGTAGCTCAGTGGTAGAGCGCTTGCCTTACATGCCTGAGGCCCTGGGTACGATTCCTCGGCACCACATAAGCAAAAAAGAAAAAAGCCGGAAGCAGCGCTATAGCTCAAGTGGTAGAGCTGAGGGACAGCGCCCAGGCCCAGAGTTCAGGCCCCACAACCGGACCCCCCCCCAAAAAAAAGAAGGTGCTGCATATTGGAATGCTGACATAGTGGTAGAGCATAAACTTGAGCTTAAGAGCAGCAACCAAGGTCCTGAGTTCAAGTTCCAGGACAAGGCAGGACAGGGCAAAAGAAAGGACAGCTAAGGAAAAACGAAAGGAAAGGCTGATGTTACATCATACCTCACCAGGAGATGCCAGCAGAGAGCAGGATATTTTCCAAACTAATTCCCGAGTCTTCAGGGAAAATAATTTTCTCTCAACACAACATAAAAATCATGCTACTGCAGGGCACCAGTGGCTCACACCTGTATTCCTAGTTACCCAGGAAGCTGAGATCAGAGGATCGTGGTTCAAAGCCAGCCTGGGCAGGAAAGTCCATGAGATTCTTATCTCCAATAAACCACCAGAAAACCAGAAGTGGTGTTGTAGCTCAAGTGGTAGAATGTTCACCTTGAGCTGAACTGCTGAGGGACAGTGCCCAGGCCCAGAGTTCAAGCCCCATGATCAACCAAAAAAAGAGTCATGCTACTTTATTTTTTGCATATTCTCCTTACATAAAGAACTCCGGGGGCTGGGAAGGTGGCTCAGTGGTAGAGCGCTTGCCTTGCATGCATGAGGCCCTGGGTTCAATTCCTCAGCACCATATAAGCAAAAAGAAAAAAGCCGGAAGTGGCGCTGTAGCTCAAGTGGTAGAGCGCTAGCCTTGAGCTGAAGAGCTGAGGGACAGCGCCCAGGCCCAGAGTTCAAGCCCAGGACTGGCAAAAAAAAAAAAAGAGGAAGATTGGGAATGGTTCAAGTGGTAAATCAAGCATGAGGCTCTGATTTAAACCCCAGCAGTGAAAAAAAAATTGTTTTTAAATATAAAATACAACAGAATGCAAAGCTGGTATAAATTAAATGTATCCAACAATTCATTCAAAACATTTTTATTGAGTTGTCTACTAGCTGCAGACACTGAATTAACCATCTCCCCATAAAGTAGAATTATAACCTTCTAGAAGTATGGATTTAGAAAAGAAACCATTTACTCCAATTCCCTCTAGGAGATCCCAGAGAACCAGTGCAGAGACTGACTCAAAGTTACACAGTGATGCAGGTCAGAGATAAGCCCCAGTTTGCAGTCTACTATCTGTTTCCTCCTCTCTAAGTGTAATAGGCAGCAAAAACATCTCAAAATAACCCTCAAATACCCAGGAACAGCTCACCTTCCTTCCAAGATGGGTAAAATGTGAGTACACTGGTGTCCAGATGAAATGATGAGCCCACTGGAGGCTGAGTTCTTTGGCCTATTGTGGTAAAAGCTGAAGAGGCCATCGATCCCATAGGCAACCTTGGGAATCCTGTAGCATTCGAAGAGGAGCTCCGACATCATTTGGCGTGAATACAGAGGGTTGCACACAGGTTCAGTCAAAACGATTGGATGATCCACACAACCCTACTTTGAAAGAAAAGGACAAACTGAGTAAGAATAGATAGAGCCACCAAATTCTTACTGCAGAGCAGATATGCTTTAGGGGTCTAAGTAAATACCTGTTTAGAAGCAATTATAAAACATCCATATCAGTGGGGCACCGCTGGCTCACACCTGTAGTAATCCTAGCTACTCAGAAAGCTGAGATCTCAGAATCACGGTTCAAAGCCAGCCCAGACAGGAAGACTCTTATCTCCAATAAACCACTCAGAAAACCAGAAGTGGCACAGTGGCTCAAATGGTAGAGCACTAGCCTTGAGCTGAAGAGCTGAGGGACAGCGTGCAGGCCCAGAGTTCAGGCCCCATGACCAACAACAACAACAACAAAAATCTATCTCATCTGATTTGGACTTCATGTTGGAAAATATCAAAGTAGGATCCACTTAAGACTATTTAAATAGGCCTCGTCCAAATTGTTACTAAATTGTAATGGCTCTATCTTCAAGATAGCTCCAGCACATAGGTAATTGAGGGGTTCTCTTACCAGCCCCCTATTTCCCTGACAGCTCCCTCTCCACATAGTAGCTGTAGAGACCCTCTGGTGAGACAAGTCACAACATTGCTCTGCTCAACACCTGAAGTGCAACACTCCCTATTTCATGTACAGGGCAAAAATCTACAAGGTCTATACCTCGCTGGCACCTGGCAGGCAGTACCTGTTCCAGACAATCCCCTTCCCTGTGGCTGTCCTACCATGACGGTCAGATCACACTCGGTCCCTCACTCGCTTTCTCCAAGTCCTTCCTCAATCAAACGCTTTAGGCAAGCGCCCATCTCATAGAACTGCAGCTCCCTTCCTCCTATTGGATTATCTTCGCCTCAACCACAGGACGTTTTCTGCTAGGCTCACAGATGTATTCCAACCGACTAAACCCGCACGTAGCGGATGCGAAACGCAACTTGGTGAACAAACGAACGAATGAATGAATGTGCCCTTCTACCCCAAGAGTTCAAAAGCGGCCTGGGTCCAGAGTTCCCGGAAGGACCGCTGGGACGTCTGCCCCGCCCACCGCCCCGCCCACCTCGTCCTCCCCCACCGCCAGCGCCCCGCCCCTCGCCCCGCCCACCGCGCCCCGCCCTCGCCCCGCCGTAGAGGCATCACCAGCGACGAGACGCCCAGGTGCTGGAAGCTGTAGTCCAGCAGCAGCTCCTGCAGCTCCAGGTTGACGGGCACGTTGCGGTCGAAGGGCGAGCGCAGCATCCAGCGCAGCGGCTCCAGGCTCCCCAGCGCGTGGCCCACCTGCGGGCCCGCCCCGCCCCGCGCCGCGCCCCGCCCGCGGGCGCACACCGCGCGGAACTGCAGGCGAGGCTCCAGGCCCGGGTCTCCCCCAGGGCACGCCCAGCCGGCGCGGGCCTGGAAAGATCCGTTGTCCAGCACCAGAGGCAGCGGCCCCGGCGCCACGGGCTCGGCCTCGGGCACGGGATCCGGCGCGGCGCGGGCGTCGCGGAACGAGAACACGTTCGCAGCCATCTTGGCGCGCCGGCCCCGCCCCTCACGCAGTACGCGCCGACGCCGCGAGTTCCCGTCCGCGGCGTGACGCCGCGCGGCTGAAGCCCTGAAGTACCTTACAACCTGCACTGGCCACCTCACCTCACTCGCCCCTGGCGGCCTAGCCAGCACTCGAGGCCTCTCAGCCCCTTAAGTCCTAGCTGAAAACTGCCGGTCTCCCAAACAAACGGCTTAACCACGCTCCTTCGCTCTCATTGGACTACTGGCCAGGAAGCCCCGCCTCCCTCCGGAGCGCCGTTAGGCCACGCCCTTCGTGGAGCCCAACCTGACACCACCTCTTTGATGGACACGCCCATTTCCGGGAACGTACCCCACCGCCCCGCCCCTTCGCGTTTCCTTCAGCCTGTCCAGAAAAACTTGGTGCCAAACGCTGGGGGTACGTCGTTGTTCTAGTGTTGTTCCCTGGCCTGGCAGCTCACTATGCAGATGCGTTCTCTGTTAAATTCATCAGGCTGTCTGCCTAGTATTTGTGCACCTTCAGCATATATAGAATATATATACATATATTTATTTATATAGTTTTTAATTTTATTTTTTGCCAGTCTTGGGACTTGAACTCAGGGCCTGGGCACTATCCCTGAGCTTCTTTTGCTCCAGGCTAGCACTCTACCACTTGAGCCACAACACCACTTCTGACTTTTTCTGTTTATGTGGTACTGAGAAATCGAACCCAGAGCTTCATGCATGCAAAGTGAGCACTCTACCACTGGGCTAACTTACATGCTTTAAATGTCTTTATTCTAGCCCAGTACTTGATTGAAAGGCTGGCTAAATTCTACTTGGAAATAATTTTGCTTTAGAATTGAAAGCATTTAAGCCGGGCACCCATGACTCACACCCATAATCCTAGCTACTCAGGCGGCTAGGGCTGAGGATTGAGATTCAAAGGAAAGTCCGTGAGACTCTAATCTCGAATAAACCATTCAGAAAACCAGAAGTGGCACTGTGGCTCAAGTGGTGGAAAGCTCACCTTGAGCTGAAGAGCTGAGGGACAGGGCCCAGGCCCAGAGTTTAAGCCCCATGACGGAAAGAAAAAGAAAAAAAAAAGCATTTCCTTGTTTTCCCCCAGGTTTTGTTTTGTTTCATTTTCTGGGGAATTTGAATTTAGAGCCTCATACTCTCCCTCAGGCTTTTCTCTAAGCTGGTACTCTACCACTTGAACCCTACCTCCATCTCTGGCTTTTTCTGGTTAATTGGAGATAAGAGTCTCTAAGTTAGCTTGAGAGAGAGAGAGAGAGAGAGAGAGAGAGAGAGAGAGAGGGTAGTCAGGGCATTTTCTGGTTAATTGGAGGTGTGTTAAGCTTAAATTCTAAGCCCACGTGATGTTCAGATACACAAGGATTACTTTTCTTGGGAACTATCCTTTCTCACAGAAGGATAAGAACACAAATATTTCAATCATCTTTATATGTGGGGGGAAAATTGTTTTGGGCCACCCTGAAAAGTTCCAGCAGGTCTTAGCATTATCTGAAGCATGGTTCTGACTGATGTCTGAGGGTCAAACCTTCATCTCTTCCAAGGTGCCTTATTAAGAATAAACATCTTGGGGCTGGGAAGGTGGCTCAGTGGTAGAGCGCTTGCCTTGCATGCATGAGGCCCTGGGTTTGATTCCCCAGCACCACATAAACAAAAAGGAAAAAAAAAAGCCGGAAGTGGGGCTATGGCTCCAGTGGTAGAGCGCTAGCCTTGAGCTGAAAAGCTGAGGGACAGCGCCCAGGCCCAGAGTTCAGGCCCCACGACCAGACCCCCCCACCAAAAAAAAAAGAATAAACATCTTGATTATGGAGGATAATAAGTCACATAGGCACCTGATAAACCCCCAAAGAAGGAAACAAGTCATAGAATCTGGAAGATGAGCAGTACCTTGGGGGGGCTTCACAAAGGCCCAAGAAACTTCCCTTTCATATCTCCCCATCACCACCATTCAATTTATCTGATCTGGAGAGATCAACACTTTTGTTAAAGGTCCCCTTGACTCTCAATGAATATCAAGACCCCCTTTGAGCTTAAAGCATGGACCACATAACATCATTTAGATCTCCAAGACCTGTCCCAAAGCCTCTATAGAAGATGCCAATGGAGCTCTGCCCACAGCTCCTCACACTGGCTTCTGTCAACATTCCAAGGGGCGCAGAGGCTGGAAGTGCTGGGTAGTTAACAAGTCCATAAGCAGCCCTCTACCCACAACTGATAGAATTTGGAAGACAAAGGCCTAGGTACCCTGGTCTTCCAAATGGGATCACTCTGAAGTTTCCTGAAGGGTGGCTTCAAATAGATTAAGGCAAAGGTGTCTGCCCATAAAATTCCTTGAATTGCTTTTCTTCCTTCTCCTTCCTTTGCCTCTCCTCTGTGTTACTGGGGCTTCCTGGTATTGATTCCCACATGAACGACTTCATTCATATGTGTCAGATGGAGCCTAGTGTGGCAATGTAGACTGGAGAAGCCCCATCAGAAGCAGCCTGGCTCCCTGCATCCCTTATCTTTGTTTCTGCTTCAGTGTCTCTTCCACTTATTTTTCATACTGTGTTCTTGGACTCTCCCTCTTCATAGCACCCTCTTCAGAGTCAAGGCGCCATCAGAACTGTTTAGGTGATAGAATACATGTGTTCAGCATAGACTCTCGCCTTTTTTTTCCCTGTATGTTAGAATGGTTGTGTAATATTGGAAAGCGAAAAAGAAAAAGAGCAGCGGGAAAGATGCCCAAGACAGCCTTGGGCATCTAGATCTTCCAAGTGGGAAGATCCAAGCCACTCATGTTCCCATTCACAGAGAGGACTGAGACTACCTGAGGATGGCTCCCTCCTTGATCAAAGCCTCTCTCTAGATCTCTGAAGTCACCTTACCCCCAAGGGCAAGGCCTGAATCCTCTTCAAGTTCTCAATGGTCCCTATGGACCAGATTGGCTTCCTCCCTCCTTCTCTCCTTCCCTTCATGCCACTGTGTAGGAATCCTTCCATCCTAAGATAGGACATAACATACAAGAAAACATGCTCCATAACAGAGCATCCTTGTGGGTTTGGGGAAACAAAAAGCAAAGATTCACTTTTGAAATGCTATGAAATAGAGCACTGAAAATAACCAATAAATAATTATGCATAAGCTGGGAGGGGGGAATTTAGGGAGACAAGAAGCAGTTAGGACTCTGGGGTGTCCTGAAAGACACTACCCAATATAAAGGTGGAGAACCTTCTTGGAGGACCAGCAGCTTACGCTTTCATGGCTGGAGAGTGGGAGGCTGTTGAATTAGGGCCATCTTGTGACTGTGTAGCTGAGGCTTCTGGGTTCCTGTGACAGGACAAGTCTTGGTGGTTATAGGCTAGAGGAGGCTCTAAGGTCTCTGACCCTAGGGTCAGTACTTCAGCACATCTCTATGTTAGGTAGGGATGGCCTCATAGGTCCATAGCAAGTGGAAGCCAGGATAAGCCCTAAGAACTGATGAGGACACCAGGAGCTAAGGCAGAGTCCTCCTGTCTCCTCAATTCCACCCTGCAATTGCCAGACTTGGGTACTTCCTGAGACTCAGATTCTCATGATGATGCTACTATGGCTAGGTTAAGTCAGGACTTCTTCCTTGCATCTTCTGCTCATGCATTTTGGGGGTGACAAAGGGAGGCCAGATCCCATCTACTCCAGCTCCCCATGTCTCACAGACTCCTGAATGCCAATTGAAGATTAGAGTCCTATTGACTAGGCTGCAGAATTCCCTTTGGGGTGTCTAGGGGACTGGTTCTTTGGGACCTGCAAACACCAAGATTTGTCCTTTAAGGACCTAGACTCCTGGAAGACACCAAGATGGGAGCTAAGACCCAGAAGAGCAGATCCAGGCATGCCAGAGACATGGCAGCTGATACAGGGTGGTGTTCCCACATCCCCTTCTCCTGTAGAAGTCTTGGCTTTTTCTTCAGGGTATAGAATGAGCCTTCAACTCAGAGCATACCCAGGGTCCATAGAGGCACTGAGATGCAGATGAATGAGGCACAGGCACGAGCAGCCAGTACCATCTCCCTCCAGGTCTGGAAGATACCAGTAGTCATGGGGGATAGGAAACTGAGAACTCTTTAGACTGTCCTACAACCTGAACACAGAATTAGCGTAACAAAGAGGAACTCAGCAATGTGGGATCCCAAGTGTCCTGTTTAAGGAATCAGAGATGCTGAGGGAACTGGACATTAGGGGGAGGAGTTCCCCTTCCCCTTCTACTCCCAGAACCAGAATGACGCAAGGTCACCTCCGTCTCAAGTGAATCACAGAGCATGCCCACATGGATATTCTGCATGCATGCATGCACACACACACCCCCCACAGACTCCCCACCTCACACTCATATATTCTCATTTTTCCTCCCTCTTTCTCTCCCTCTTTCCTTCTGTACCCCCCTCCCTCCTTGCCAGGAGATATGACCATCTTACTTTAGTACTCACTGACTTCTTTCTTAAATCACTCTAAGAGACCTGTGCCTCAGTGGTAGCTTCTCTCACAGCGAGGGAGGAAGGGCTCTGTGCAGCTTAGTCTTGCACTCCCAGCTCCCATATTGAAAGTTCACCAGGAACCTTCCCAATGATCCCAAGAGGGGAACTCGTGAAGGCAATGCATGTTTTGTCCCTGGAATTTGGTTCCACTGGCTCTTTTGGGTAATCCAGACAAATGCGTTCTTGGACAGACTGCACAAGTTCCAGGAAAACGAGAACTCAAATGGCTATTGATCTATAAATGGGGCCTCCACTTGGACTTGAGGAGGGGTGATCCTGGATGAGAGATGCCTGAAAGATCTGTTTGATATGAGGGGAGATACACACCTGCTCCTTCACAGTTTTCTTCACAATCTGCACTTAAGATGTGAATTTCTGCTTGTCTTGGTTAATTGCCCAGCTCTCACCTGCTGGACAAGAAGCTCCAGGAGGACATCCAACATAGCTCTAGCCCTAAGGGGCTGTCAATAAATGTTTGTTAAAATGGTGGTGTCCTGGCACCCACC